TCAACCTTTATTTATACAGGCTAATCCCATTGAGCCTCAAGGACTCATTTACAAGAAAAACTGTAATTATATATATATATATATATATATATTCTGGTTCAAACGTTATATTTTTAACAATCTTAGCTAAATAAAATGCTGATGTTTTGATAAACAAGAAAGGGAAATAGAGCAGACTATAAACTAAACGTTAACTCTTCTGCCAGTGGCTCGATGTGTGGTCACCATGGTAACCACGCGCCTGTGTCTTTCACTCCCTGACTGCACTGAGGAGAGCTATCACGTCAAACATTCAATAGATTCTTCTGTTGTATCGGCTCGTGTATTTGTTTTTATTACATGAGTTAAATTGGTTTATTTTATTAAGTTTTACGTGTTGATTAATGTATTTGTTCATTGTCAAGAGAATCACTTTTTGTTGAATTTTATTTAGTTTTTTTAATTAATTTGATTTAATTTTGCTACATTACTTTGTGAATTTCTTTCTGGTATTAAAAAAATCCTAATAAAAATATCCTAATAAGACAGGCAGAAACTCTGACTAAAAAGTAAGCCTCAAACAGACTGCCGATGTGCCAAAACTACAATTTAGATTGGCAGAAGGCTTTAGCCATCTCACCTGGGTTTGATTTTACCTTTTTACAGTGTTTTATGAAAGAGGTAAAGACAAAAAAAACTTTCGTCTTTGAAAAGATTAATGCTAAAATATAAATAAAATATAAAGTGTGAGGAAATGATTGTGTGTGCACTCTGAGGGGGTTTGAGAGAAAACCATGAGAAGAAGTGAGAAGCACGTTGGACGAAAAAAGACAAAAATCTCATTTTTTCATGGATAATTTGCGTGTCTTAGTTTTCCCAACGTTTCCGAGCGTGAAAATAAACAAACTGTGCTCATAAATGTAACTTTAACGCTTCAGCATTGAAAACCTTCATTGTTTTGTTTTTTATTTTTAACTGGTAAAATCCTTCTGCAGGTACGGCACTTCGTTAGAGACAGGGAGTCAGCCGGTGACCGACATCTTCCACTTTGTTGTTTACGACGAGGACAACAATCGCCTTGACAACCAGATGTGCACCATCACCATCACCTCCACGCCCCGACAGCCGCCGGTGGTCACGGTGCGCAGCGGCATCAAGGTGCTCAGATTTACTTTTTCACAGCGTCTTTGTTGTTTCCGTGAAGCTCTTTGTGTTGCTCCGGTCTGAAGAGTGAAAATGTGTTAAAATATGCAGAATATTGTTCGGCTTTCTGTGTCCGCTGCTCGGAACAAAAATATAAACAACTTTTCACACGATGGAACGGCGCCAACACACAGCTCAAAAAATTTTTAAAAAGAGAAGTCGATACAGTCGCTTCAGTAAAGTCAGATGATGTTTGGTTTAGTTATTAATAATGTTAATTTGAGCTGCCGTGGCTCTGAGGTCCATGCTGCGATTTTTACTCCTGAGGCTGCAGGTTCATCAGAAAGGGCATAAAACATGAAGAGAGCAGCTGAAAGAATAAAAATTAGTCACGTTAATTAGTTGGAAACATGTTTGGCTAACGAGGCCAGCGGATTTATTCACATTTTCACTTCAGGGGAACTCCTCGCCCTGTTTTTGCTGGAGGTTAAAAGAAATGTTTATAAATGCTACAAAATGTTTTAGCTTTTTTGTTAATTTTCTTTTCTTCTAAACCAAAAAAAAAAAATTGGGGGGGGGGGGCTCAAAACTTGATACTAACGTCACAAACAATCACATAAAATCACTCTGCGACAGCTACACTGAATTTAAGCACAAAATATGTCAAGCCGACTGAATTAGTTTTCTAAAGTGAGTTCTTTGTAACGGCCATCTTGAAAGGACTCCAAACGTTAATCTGTTGCAGATGCACTTGGGCACATGGAGAGACAGAGATCCCCCCCCCCCCACTAATAAAAAACAAACCTGAAGCAGGTCAGAAAAATGTAAATAACATAGAAGAATGTTTGTAAGCTCATTCATCCAGGTAGATAACAACAAAAAGGTTAATTTGGTCATCTGGGCCCGTTTGTATTAAGTGAGAAACGTTTCATCCCCCATCCAGAGGACTTCATCAGTCTACAGCCTGCCAACCAGATCTGTCCCATAGGTAGCCTTCACTGCTGTGTTTCAAGCCAACCTCCTGTTGGAGTCTCAGAAATAAACACAACCCAGAGGGACAGAACCAGTCCTGAAGCACAGAACCAGTTACAAACACGGGTTCTTAGACGTGAGCGCTCATGATTAACACGATGGGACTCAGGTGTGCAGAGAACGGGAAGCAAAACCAACGGGGACGTACAAAATAAAACGGGCTTTTAGAACAAACAGGAAGTCTGATTCAAGATGGCAGAATCAACAAAAACGAACACGTCGAAGCAAAAAACTACAGAATTAGAAACAGATTAATCTAGAAAGTTCAAATAAAACGAAACTCAAAATGTTTCCGCCTCATCCAGAGATTATTTCCTGAACATCTCATTAAGGTCTGCCCCCTCAGTGACCAAGGTTTAGCTCATTATCAGTAAAATGCAGTTGTTATAGCCTCTGTCGTGTAGGCTAAGGTCGATTGGCTGTGGCGGCCATCTTGAATTGGGTCAACTCCAAACGTTGCAGATGTGTGTTGAATGATTCATTTCCCAGTTTCATTCAAATATGTCCAGTGGTTTCCGAGATATTTTGCTAACAAACAAGCTTGACTCCAACAGGTAATGACAAACTCGTAAGCGAAGATGTCATGCTGTTTGAGATGATCCTCAGTTACTACCACACCAAGGTTTGGGTCGGAACCCGTCGATCTGACAGCTGTTTTTGTGTGTTCGGGTTCTTCTTCACGCTGCAGGTCCAGGAAGGCGGTCGTGTGCAGCTCTCCACCAATCACATCGCAGTGTCCGGCGCGGACACGTCCAGCTCCGTCCTGCTCGTTTGGCTCGTCAGTCCTCCAAAGTACGGCTTCATTGAGAACACCTTCAGAGGTGGGTTTCAGGTGGCAGAACCGGGTCACAGAACTGGTTCAGACTTTAAAGGTGAACACCCAACCGCCGGCTGCTCAGAATCTTCCCCTCGTTCGTGTCTGAGTCCCGTTCAAACGGCACCGGCTGCAGATGGAGCCATCGCTGCTCTTCCAGGTCCAACAGAACCCCAAAGTAAAACCAAACCTGGAAACGGCTTGTAAGATCGGAGGGAAGTGTCGGAGCTCCGTCCACAAAACGATTTTCAGTTAGTGTTTCTGCAGGTTCTGGGTTCTGGTCCGGGTCAGATGATTAGCAGATTCCTCCCACGTCTTCTGGAGACGTTTAGTTTCTGAGAAAACGTCGTAAATGTGGGAAACCCCCCGAGCTGCAACACGAAGCGAGCATCTTTTTGTTACAGGTCTTCTTTTTATATTTTCACACGAAGCAGCTCGTTAGACGGATTCTCTCCTCTCGGTAATTTGGAAATAATTCAAATCTGAGTTTGTTTTATTTTCCCACTCCGAACTGCAGTTTCCTCATTAATTCAGTTTAACTGAGAGTTTACGCCGAAGTTCACTGAAGATTAATTCACAGGAAAACGGCCGCGGCTGAGTGTTTCATCGCCTCCTGGATGAAATAATCTCATTAACATGTTGCGTGATTGATAAACGTGCGCAGTGATTTATGCACGAGTTCATGCAAAAATCAGAAACGTTCGTGTCTAAGCACTGCGTTGAAAACAGATTATAATCTGATGAATGAGTTTATGTGCAGGTTTTTACTCTGAGCCTCACCATTGGACAGTTTCCTCACATTTCTTCACATTTAAATCATTAAATATTTGTTCGTGCGACTCGATGCACGTAGATCTCGTTAAATATTAATCGGCTTCTTACAGAATGGAAAAAAAAAATATTTAATTTTAGTTTTGCAAATTCCCTCTTTTATTGTTGCGTTTTGAAAAAAAAGTGAGACCGTTTTGGGTTTTGCGCTGATAACAAGTGAAATATCAAATTAAAAAAATGATTAAAAGCTCAAGAATTATTATTTTACGACAGGTCAACTTTTTAAAAATGGACAATTTAGAAACTTCCAATTACGTTTACGAATTACTTCATGGAATAAAACGGATAAAAACAATAAACCAGACAATATTTTTTTATTATTTATTTTAATTAATGTTTTAACATCTATAAATGACAAAGTTGGATCTTCACCGCGCCAAGTTTAGTTTCAAAGACTGGAAGATGAGAAATTAAATTTTCAGACGGCTGATTATTAAAATAAATAGTAATTCTGTAAAATAAACTCAGGTTATTTATAATCATAGAATGTTGCGTCGTTGAAGGAATGCTTGTCGCCCGCTGAGTTTTAAATAAAGATCACCTCATGATGCGAGTGTGACGTGTTGAGAATGACCCTCAGCTACTACCACACCAAAGTTTAGCTCAATATCTAGAAAATTATCTTATTAAATTAATCAATTAAATAAAAAACTATGCCTTCCGGGCTGTTGGGAAGTTGTTTTCTTTAACGCAGCAGCAGGAAGTCGTTTGTTTTCCTGTAAATAAAATAAAACTTTTCTTGTCGACTGGAGATGACTGGACTCAGAGGCTGAGCGCCTGCAGGCAGATCTTTAAAGCGTCTGCAGCTGCAGGACAGCAGCTGGCGGTCAGTCTGAGTTTTAACGTCCTCTGCGCTGCTGGAGACTCATCTTTCATCCCTGCTTCTTTCTTTTACGTAATAGGAATTCATTTTCAGGATGAAAAGAGAGAAACTGTTTGTTTGGTCGTCCTGCAGGCGGCTCGGCCGGCGGCGCCAGAGTCACTCCAGATGTTCCGTTTCCCGTCGACGACCTGACGTCCGATCACATCTTCTACGTGCAGGACGGCCGGCGTCGCCCTCAGTCCGGACAGGATGTATTCTCCTTCTACGTCAGTGACGGACACGTCCAGACGGAAACTTTCAACGTGGAGATCGACATCCAGGTGAGATCTGTGTCCCAGTTAGCGAAAAATAATCGGTTATTCAGAATGATCTAAAAAATATCACGAGTTTATTACTTTAAAAGATTCCTTGTGTGTAAAGATTCAGCAGTTCGTGTTTCTGTTGCACCTCCGTGTTTGTACGGTAGCCCAGCAGGGACAAACACTCCCCTCAGAGCGTTATTCTGATTTTAAAAAGCCGTCGTATTCTTGTTTTCTAAATGCATTTGGTTAAACTTTAGACAAACAGTAATTTTATCAGCACTTCATAATGTTTATATTTAATACGAGTCATTTTTTTTTTGTTTGTTTTCTCAAACTAAACTAAACTCAGTTTAATTATTAAATATTACTAAATAATATCTCCCCCTGAGATGTTTTTGAGCCAAATAATTTGGTTTGGTCTGATCTGGACTTCCTGTAATTCATAGCAGAGTCAAGAAGCCAGAGCGCCGGTGGTGTTGGTCAGCAGGATCCACGTGGAGGAGAACTCTGGAGCCGTCATCACCAACTCGTCCCTCAGCGTTCGCGATGAGGACACGCCCGAGAACGATATCGTGTTCACCATCATCAGGATCCCGACTTACGGTGAGCTCAGACGGACGACGCCCCAGTCGAAGCTAAAGGTTTCCCTCTGAAGCTAATCCTGGCTTCCTGCTCTGTCAGGAGTCTTATTGTAAATAAGGCGGATTAAATTTCATAAACGGTCTTCACGTGTGCAGAATCAAACTGTCTACGTGAATATTTATTTTATGAAAGCAGGGAAGTTTTTACTCCTGAGCAGAATGTTTCCTGAAACTTGTAGTCCATTTAGTCGTTTTCAGACAAAATCTTGGGGAAAAATACCTCAAACCATCAGAAAGATCAACTCTGCGTTGGAAGGTGGCTGCAGCTGGTGGGAATTTAAAATTAACACGTTTATCGTATTTTGTAATAATATTAAAAACGTGATTTATTTATATATAAAGAACAGAAACCCCAAAAAGTTATGATTTTTTTTCTCGTTTACTTTATAATTGCCCCCTGCTAATATCATTCACCAAGTTTTCTCATAAACCATTGGTCGATTTTTAATTAAACTTTTTAGTTTGTTCAATGTGTCTCTTGAGCTGGAACACTTCAGGAACCAATAACCTTCAAGATGGCCGCCACGGCTAATCAGCATCAGTCAGTCCCTAGCAGTGTTGAAACACGCATGCACATCCAAGAGAAAACGACTAAATATGAATGGATCTAAACCTAAAAAGTATCAAGTTAATAAAACGTGAAATGTGTTGAGTTCTGTTTAAAAATGTTGCTTTTCTAAATGTTTTTTCTATTCGTCAATCACGTCTGCAGCCATCGAGCAATGAAGCCGCTGCTGGTTTGTGTTTGCACAGAAATATGATGCCAATAAGTCAATAAATTAACATTTATACCAACGTTCAGGTCGTGAGTCTGCACACAGACCAAGCAATATAATATTGTGCATGTGGTGGAAGCACACGAACATAAAACCATGAACACATTACTCTCACTTCCGACACCCAAACGGCTTAAAACAAGACGAGCGGAGCGGCCGTCTGCAGCCGAAACACACGCTGACACGAGCTGACCTCCAAACACTCTCCTCGGCCGGCGGCTCCTCAGCCACAGCAAATTGAGTTTTCTTCCTCGGACGCCGAAGCCCGGTGGGCTCAGAGAAATTGCTTCACAAAAATAAGTGTTTTTCCTGGTTTATGTGACGAGGAATGTTTCTTTTTCAGCAATTCTTCGTCTATTTTAGCAAAGTTTACAAAATCTTGTCCAGGCTGGAAAAGTTTGATAAGAGAGTTGATCTGAAATAATGTCAAATAATTGTGTTTAATGAGTTCGTGCTTTGTTGTGTCGTTTTTAATTTTAAAGTGCTGTAATGAGCTAAATCAAAGGTTGTTTCTAATTTGATTATGTATATATTTGGCTAGAAAATTTGGTTTGACACCAAAAAAGTTAGTCCACACGTAAAATAATCTTAATCTGCACCTTCTGCCGCTTATCCGTGGTCGGGTCGTGGAGGCAGCAGGTCCAGGAGAGAATTCCAGACCTCCCTCTCCTCAACGACTCTCCAGATCCTCCTGGGCGACCCCGAGGTGCTCCCAGACCAGAGTTCTGGGTCTCTGCACCTAGGTCTTTTTTCCACTGGGAGGTGCCTGGAAAAACTTCAAAGGGAGGCATCCTAATCAGATGAAGCTCTTCAACGAACTCGTTTTGAAGCAGCGGAGCAGCGGCTCCTCTCTGAGCTCTCCCCGGATGACGGAGTTCCTCACCCCCTCTCTAAGGCTGAACCCAAAGCTCATTTTAGCCACTTGTAGCCGAAATCTCATTCGTTCTGTCCTGATCCAAGTGAGCAGTGTTACGTTATGTTAGTATTACTGCTAGTTATCATTGTCGGGGGGGATTTTGTAGGCGGGGCGCCCTCCTTGGATATTGGCAGAATAAACACTACTTGATGTGTTGAGTTCAAGGCCAATTGATTTTTATTTTTTACAGTAACTAAAGTCAATTTATACAATTTAGCACCACTTGGGCAAATACATTCATACTTCCTATATTCAAGGTTCAGCTCTAGTGTTTTCCACCTGCTTTTCTGTTGACATTTACATACAAACTTTTTTTGTTTGTTTGTTTTATGGGTATTTTATGTTGCGATACCTAAATGTGCTCAACGTCGTTGAGTGTTGAAATGACTGCAGAGCAGCAGAAACATTGTAGGCATAAACGCCGTTTAGACTCAAAGTATCTCTAATGAACCAGAATGAATATATCTAAACCACAATGCATTGCAAAATACTGACACTGAGCATGTTCATAGTAACTGTAAATACTTCAAAGGTTAGCCAAAAGTTAAGTGCCTTAATTATCACTCGCTGCTAAAAGGACCCAATTCAAGATGGCTGCCATCGAATACTCTGTTAAAAAACACAACAACAGACATAATTCAGTCAAATCTTCAGATATAATTTGCTGTAGTAGAAGCTGAAATTACACGATTTTTTTTTCCAGGCTTGACCAAAACGGCTACAAGGAATTCTAGTCCCTTAACTTGGACATTAGACTGTCGGAGGTAAAAGTGGATATTTTACTTTGACTTGTTTTTTTTTTTTTCAAAAGCAGCCGTTTTTGATTAATCTGATATCCGTTGGTCGTTGCGTAGATTATTCCACCAAACAGCTCAGCTAGCTGCCTTCCTGATGTCATCTTCAGCCACTTGTCTGTAATTCGGCCTCGCCTGCTGCGGCTCTTTCTAGTAACAGACAGCCCATAAAGCAGCCGGTGAAGCTGAGCGTGACGCCTGCTGTGAAAGCACCGGCGTGGACGACTGATGGGACGGAGACGGTGGTTTCCACATGGGGTGATGGATCTCAGGCATCTCGTCTGTCTTTTAACGCGCCGCCTTTTTACTTTCCTCACATGGCCGCCCTCCAACACACTCAGATTTATCAGAGAAGCCCCTCTCTAACCTAATAAAGATGTCAGGAAGCTGCAGGGCGTGCTCACTGCCTCTTGGGTCATGCTGAGCAAACCTCTTAACACTAACCGTGAAATAAAAATAAATAAGAAATTTCAGATTCCTGCTGATAAGATATTAACTGTTCTTGTTTGTTTGTGTTTAGAAATGAACAGTCATGATCAGATGTTTCCACCACACGTCATGGGGCTGAATGTCTGATTAATTCTGGGGCTGGATGAATACAACAGATAACTTCATTTAATTTTAAAAGCAATCAGGTTGAGGTCTGGGCTTTAGAAAGGCCTTTCAAGATCCTTAATGTAGCCTGAATGATCCAGTCAGAAACCAGTTCTGATGGTTGATCCAATCAGAAACCAGTAAACCAGTTCTGATAGTTGATCCAATCAGAAGCCAGTTCTGATGGTTGATCCAATCAGAAGCCAGTTCCAATGGTTGATCCAGTCAGAAACCAGTTCTGATGGTTGATCCATTCAGAAACCAGTTCCAATGGTTGATCCAATCAGAAACCAGTTCCAATGGTTGATCCAGTCAGAAACCAGTTCTGATGGTTGATTCAGTCAGAAACCAGTTCTGATGTGGTTTTGTGGATCATTCTCTAGGAGCACAAACCTGTTCAGGTCTTGATTCAAGTTGAAGATGAAGAATCTGGATTTAGTCCTCTTTTGAACATCCCATCCACTTTTTGCAACACTCCAGTACCACATCATGATGCTACTACCACCATGTTTGACTGTTGGTGTCATGTTCTTAGGATTAAAAGCCTCATCTCAACTCCTCCTGACCTACATCTTGTCACTGTGGTCACATAAATCTGTCTTTGTCTCATCTGACCATACAACTTCCTCCAGAAGGCTGTACGTCGACGACTGACTGACGTTTTGTAGCAAATCCCATTCAAGATGGCTGCCAGCTTTTTAAACAGTGAGGAAACGTGGTCAGTTTTTTTTCTCTGGCGGTTTAAATCTGAAGCAGCAGAACTGAGAGTTAGGACAAATAAACCTGCAGTCTGAGAGCGAAGTGCTCTGTTAGTAAAATATGGAACAATAAGTTCTGTAATAAGATGGGGGTTGTTGAGAGCTTTGTATGTTAGAAGACCAACATTAAAACTGTAAAATATGATACCTCCTTCTAACTCATCAGAACTCCGGCAGCAGCATTCTGGACCAACTCAAGACGTTTTGGACACCCAGATAATAAATAATGACAAAAGTCCAGCCTAGAAGTGATGAATGCACGGATCGGTGTGTCTTCAGAAAACACAATGGATAAGATCTTAAATGGGTCTTAAACAAAAGCTTTATAAGAAACTCTGTAACATATTCAAAGACGAGAAGTCCTCTGGTGTTTCTTCAGCAAAAACAGATTCTTCTCCCTTTGACAGAAACGGTCATCGTCCGATGCGTTGTTTACAAATCCCAGGTTTTCACGATTTATTTATTTTTTAATACAGGCAAACTGCGCAGGCGGCAGTTTTTCGCTCAGCCGCTGGAAAACGGTCGAATCCTTGCTCAGGGCTCCACCTTCACCTACCAAGACATCCTGGACCGGCTGCTGGTCTATACGCCGGACACCGTCAATGGGGGAGCCGACGAAATGGGCTTCACCCTCACCGACGGCGCCCACACCCAAGCGGGACGTCTAGAGTTCGCAATGGACGTGAGGAAGAGCGAGGGTCCTCGAATGACCGTCAACAGAGGCCTGCAGCTCCCAGCAGGTGAGACCAGAGGGGTTTTCTCAGTTTTATTATCTGATGGCACTGTGAAGTTAGTACGTTATCGTGGACTGATAACCGCTCGTCACATCACAACGTGAGATGCTTAAACTTTGTTTTTACCTTGAAGCATTTATTAGATCCTAGCTTTGTATTATCATGCATTGAATCTAACATATAATTGGTTGTAAACAATAACATTAAAAAACAACAACTTCCTACCGTAATTTCCAGACTATTGAGCGCAACTGCAGATAAGCCACACCCACTAACTTTAAAAAATAAAATACAATTTGTAGCTATATAGGCTGCATTTGTGTATAAGCTGCAGGTGTCCACATTGTAACGAGACTTTTACACAATTTTTTTTAATTTATTTTAAATTAAATACGTACCGCTAACATACACAAATACGTACAGTAAATGTTTTGTTTAGGTTTTTTATCCTGGGAAAAACAAAAAACTGCTGTGCCTGGAACACAGCTGGTTAAAAACAAAAATTTAAAATACCGGTACAGTAGCCCACCAGGAAAAGTCATCAGAAGCTATCTTCATCCTCCTCCTGTGCATTAAAGCCACTAAAGTCATCATCTTCAGTGTCAGAATTGAACAGTCTCAGGATTACTTCATCACACACGTCCTCAGTCTCTCTTTCGTTGTCGCTCTCAACGTCACTTTCACCTCGAGGCAAATTTGCACATGACCTTGTGCTGTCCTCTTCATCACGCAGCAGGTCAGCCTTTCGAAACCCGTTGGTGATGGAGATGGCACTGCTCCGCTGTCGGGATCCACTGGCAGACTTGAGCACAAGTTCGTACTCGGCCAGTTTTGATAAACAGTTTCTCACCGCCAGTCGTCCAAGCCTCCCACTGAGCTCGAAGTGCCACTTTAACTGTACGATTCACACTGATGTCGAGCGGCTGCAAACACTTTGTTGTGCCCCCAGGGATCACATGTTTCACGTGATCACGAGACGTGTTTTGGGCTTCGATGTGAGCGCCCGGATGTGACGAGGCTAAACGTTTTGGTGACACGAAGCTCGTTAGCCCGTAAAAATCTATAAATTAGCCGCAGTGTTCAAAGCATGTGAAAAAAGTCAAGTCAAGTCAACTTTATTTATAGAGCACATTTAAAACAGAATCTGTTATCAAAGTGCTTAACAACAACAACAATCAATGAGTAAATTAAAGAGAAAAATATATAAACATATATATACAATACACTAATAATGATAATAACTGAATAATTAATAAAAAGCATTTAAAACATAAGGTCACAGATTAAAAAACACTAGATCAATTTACACTGTATGAAATACCTGCGAGTACAGATGTGTTTTTAGCAGAGATTTGAAGTGAGGAAGGGAGGTGGCCTGCCTGATGTTGGGGGGCAGGTTGAAGGGAGGTGGCCTGCCTGATGTTGGGGGGCAGGTTGTTCCACAGTTTGGGGCCATGACAGAAAAAGCCCACTCTCCTCAGTCTTGTTTTTGGAACAGCCAAAAGCAGCTGATCAGATGATCTCAGGGCCCGAGAGGGAACGTAAGGTTCCAGAAGCTCAGAGAGGTAATGGGGTGCAAGGACATTTAGGCACTTGAAGGTCAACAGAAGAATTTTAAAGACCATCCTCGTACGAACAGGGAGCCAGTGAAGGGAGGACAGAACTGGTGTAATGTGTTCAGACCTACGAGTTCCGGTTAAAAGCCGAGCAGCAGCATTCTGGACGAGCTGAAGACGTGAGATGGAGGCCTGGCTGATCCCAGCATACAGTGCGTTGCAATAGTCCAATCTGGCCGTGACAAAGGCGTGGACTAGTTTCTCAAGGTCAGGTCTGGACAACACTGGCTTGAGCTTAGCTACCCATCCAGGCCTTAATGTCGTCCAGACATCTTAACAGAGGGTGAATGGAGCAAACACTTGCTGGTTTCACAGGCAGGTAGATCTGACAGTCATCAGCATAGCAATGGAATGAAAGACCGTGTTTCCTCAGGATGGGGAAAAAGTAGCAGCTTATAGTCCAGAAATTATGGTAAAATTAAAGCTAAGATCCTGTCTGTGGGTCGTGACTGTCGAACGCGTGTTTTTTCTAAAAATCTGGGAAAATTGTGTGAAAACAGATATTTTGTTGCAGTCACTTAATTCTGAGTATTTGTGACCAGCGAGCCGTGCGGCCGTGTTTTCGAGGGTCCATTTCTTGACCTTTGTGACCTATTTTTGTCCACCTCTTGGAAAAACAGTATGCTAGGTTGTGCACAGTATTCTGTAGTCAACATTTATGATTTAATTTACTGGATTACTTCATAAAAATAGAAATGAGCAGATTGAGACCAGCAGTTATTTTTTTTTTTTTCTGCGTAGGTTTTAGACCAGGGTGTTAAAGGGTTGTTGTTCCAGTGCTCCAAGTTTCATGAAAACTAAACTGGGAAAGGTTTGAAACGGGTTTAAGACATCCGCAACAGCTCTGAAAATATTTAGAGAAAACTGATCAACGTTTTAAAAATTCAAGCGACAAGACTTCAAGCCTCTGAGACTCAGACAAGGGAATGGAGAACCCTCACGAACGTTTCGGGTCTCATCAGTTGCCGCCCATGGAGTTGCTGCTTGAAGGAACCTATTCAGACGTTTTGTTGTCTTTCAGGGTCGTCGTCTCAGATCACAGAGCAGAATCTGAAGGGCACAGACCTGGACTCAGACAGTCTGAAGCTGCGCTACATCCTGACCAAAGACCCTCCTGTGGGCAGACTTGTGCTGAGCCGGAGCCACCTGGTGGAGAAGGTCTCTGTCAAAGGTCCAGTTCAGAGCTTCACTCAGGAGGACGTCAACAAAGGTCTCAGCTCTGGTTTTATTTTCATCCTGCTTTGTTTAATCTTCATCCTGCTGACACACACGAAGGAAAAAACTTGTTGCTGTTTATTCAGGATTGCAGTATTTTTGTTATTTTAGTTCAATTCAGTTTATTTATATATTTATAAAGCACCAAGTCACAACAGAAGTCATCTCAGGGCACTGAACAGAAACATTCATGTTTATAAAAGTAAGTTAACATTATTTAACTGAGGCGCAAACTGCTTTGAGTTTAACTCCGTCGCAGAACTCTCATCTTGAGCGAGCATGAAGGCGACAGTGGAAAGGAAAAACTCCCTCATGAGGAAGAAACTTTTAGCAGAACCAGACTCAGGACAATCAGCCATCTGCTTTGACCGGCTGGGTTTGAGAGGAACAGATACACAATGGCAGGTCCAGAATCACATGTTAAGATAGAAATATTATCAAATGAATGCCCGGTCTTCAAACTGGACAATGTGTCAGCCTCACGAACAGAAACTGGAAGTTGGTTCCACAAGAGAGGAGCCTGAGAACTGGAAGATCTTCCTCCCATTCTGCTTTTGGAAACTCTAGGAACTGCGAGTAATAGTAGTAATAGTAGTAATAGTAGTAAATGCACGATTCAGGAAAAAGTGGGGGTCAGTGGGTCATTTAGTGTTCTGATGGGCCGGAGAGAGACACTGTCCTTAAGTTAATTTAATTAATAGCTTTTTATTTAATGGGGCTAATCCTGTGGAGGTAACAGATCTCTTTTTAAAGGGAGGCCCTGGCCTGAAGGCAGCCTAACATGTATGTTCTTAGACTGTGCTGGGGGACGTTTAGCAGGGTGTCTAGGGGTCCTCCCCCAGAAAACTTTGGATTAAGTAGATGCAATTTCCTGCATTTTTTGGTGTTTTTTAATAGGTTGTTAAACATCTACATTTACCTACATTTGTAAACACTCAACTTCTGTCAAGCATCCTAAACACCCCCCACCCCTTGGCGGTTCCGAGCCGACTCTTCTCCGCTGAATTCACTGTCCTGCTCTTTGTTGTCCGACTCCACAGGAGAAACCTCCAGGCGTCTCCTCCGTCTGTTCATGGCGGCTGCCTGTCGTCTCCTGCCTGCTTACTTTTTCATTCAGCCTTTATTGATACAGGTTAATCTCATTGAACCTCAGGGACTCATTTACAAGAGAGACCTGAATTTTAACAGAGTGATAACAACAATGGAAAACGATGACAACAATAGACAACCATAAGGGATGCGTACAAATTTTTTTATTTTTTTTTATTTTTTACGAGTGAAATAAAATGACAACCAAAAGGGCAATCAAAATGAAAAGTAGCTAAAAACAGCTAGATTGTAAGGCGGTGTAGAATACCTGCCTGGTTAGCTCAGCTCTCACCCCCACCACTCTTTTAGGGGCAGAAATGCTACTTGAAGAGGCAGCTCATGTGATATTAAGAAGCTCGCAAGTGGCTGTTGTGTTTAAAATGAGTGTTTATGTAATTATTTTCAGTTTACATATCCAATGTAAGTTCATTCGTTCAGGGCAGTCATATTTGTTCATAACTTGATTATTAGTAAGCCTGAGAGTTACCGGATCCAAGCAAACAGTTACCGGAACACATCCTGTCAAAATAAGAGCGTTCCCGGATCCTGTTCCAGCAGGATCCGGCTCAAATTAAGCCCTCTATGTAATCAAACAGACTTTGTTGTCGTTGAACGACTCTCACAGAGTCGGGCTCTAAGCTGATGTTGAGTTCATGTCCCGTGTCTCGCAGGCCTGCTGCAGTTCAGCCACGAGAGAGGCGAGAAAGGAGGCAGCCTGTCCTTCAAGTTCAACCTGGTCGATCCAGAAGGCAACAAGCTGATCGACCAGTCCTTCTTCATCAGCGTGCTCGGTGGGTTTTCTGCAGACTCCGTTACCTGCAGCTAAAAATAAAAGGCTGAAGTGTTCCTCCATTTGTCGGAAAAGACAAGGCAATTACTGCAGATTTATGCCTTCGTCCTGCCGCGGCACACCGGACACATCCTGAATACAAAATGTGCCCAGACGGGTTCTGCTGGACCTGCTGGTAGTCGTGAAAAATCTCTCCAATGATCCTGACAGTTTATCAGCCTTCACTGGATAATTAGCAGGTGTTTAATTGTTGTTTTTATTGTAATAAATGTGTAAACTACCGGGGTGACGGAAATAAAATCGTTAAAATGTTAACCTAGCAAGGATATAATCCAAATTATCTCATTAGTATCACACACTGAGGAGTGGGATATTTTAGGCAACATTTAATTGAATTGTTCATAATTCAGTGATATTGCTTTAATTTTAATATTACTGTGAATACTTTCAATAATTTCTATGTGACTTTTGTTTTATTAGGATACAAACGAATATTTGGGCATAATATTGTGTGTACTGTGAGTTGTGTTGCCGTGAATGAAATATTTTTCGTTCTTTTACACTAATTGACCTTTACACTTAAACAAACTATCACTGAACTGAGTGTTTTGGAGTTTAAAAAGTCAGCTTTAAATCTTTATAGGAAATAAAAAGGCAGGAAGTGAAATTTGTGCTCCTGTTACAAACAGGAAAAAAAACACATTTAACCAAAAGTTGTTGTTTTTTAACTCTCTTGAGTATAAAACTATTTTTGGGGACTTAATGCTCCCTGTTTGTGCTACAGAGGACCACCTCCCTCCTGCTGTGGACGTGAACAAAGGTCTGGTTCTGGATGAAAACTCCGTAAAGAAGCTGACCACCCTGCAGCTGTCGGCCAGCGATCAGGACAGCGAGCCGGGCGAACTCATCTACAGAATCACCAAACAGACGAGCCTCGGGCAGCTGGAGCACGTCGCCACTCCAGGTCTGTTGCAGCCTATGTCATCACTTTATATTTATAGTTGTTAAAGATTTGCTGATTTGAGGGCTGGTTCGGTGCAGGTAGAGGCTGAACGCTCAGAGAGATGAAACACAGCGACTTTTCCGTAATCCATTCTTGCTGTTGTGACCGTTCACACAGCTAATTCCACTCAGTAAAAACGGATACGTGCTGCTGCTGGACGCAGAGGTTTGATGTTTTCACTGACTTAAAAAAACAACAACAAGCCGACTGGAATTAAACAGAGAATGCGAGTAAACCTAAATGTTTTTGATGCAACATATTCAAGTGGGTAGGAGTTACTCTGGAGAAGAACAGAGGGAGTTTGTTTTTCAGCACTGAGTGACGGATCCTGGTGATCAATGACGGCACAAAGGTGGAGCCAGGGGGTGGACTTTGGTGGCACTGGCCACCATACATTCAAACTTGGCCACCCCAGTCATTTGAGACAAAATGCACTTTTAGCAAGAATGTCTGATTGACTGTCTTGATGACATTAGAGGATGGATGGCGCTTAATTTCCTCCATTTTAATGAAAAGAAGACTGAGGTTATGATCTTTAAATCCTACGGCCCTAGCAGTTTTTCCACCTTGGATTTTTCCTCTTTGGCCTCATATGAAAAATCCATTGTGACAAATTTAGGAGTGAAAATGGACCCCTGCCTGAAACTTGACTGCCATGTCAACAACATGGCTACGTCCTCTTTCTGTCAGCTGAGGCGCCTGTCAAAAATCAAGCCCCTCCTTTCCAGACACCACTTCGAGACAGTAATCCACGCTTTTATTACTTCACGCCTGGATTATTGTAACTCTCTGTTGATAGGAGTTAGCCAGGCCTCGCTCTCACGGTTACAGCTTGTACAAAATGGTGCTGCACGATTTTTGACTGGTACAGGCGTGAGCACATCACTCCAGTTCTGATGCCCCTTCACTGGCTTCCTGTCCAGTCTTAGTCCATCTTATTTGTCTGAACTGCTTCACTCTTACATACCATCACGTGCTCTTACATCCTCTGACCAGATGCTTTTAGCAGTCCCAAATACCTTTTGTAAATCCAGAGGAGACGGAGCCTTTTCAGCTCTGGCTCCTAAATTGTGGAATGAGCTGCCGCTGGAGGTCGGGCAGGCCCCGTCATTTTCTGTTTTTAAAACTTGTTTAAAAACACATTGTTTTCATTGGCTTTTAACCCAGAGCGAGTCTGTGTCGTAATGTATTATTTTGCTTATGATGTTCTGATTATTTTTTTTAATATATATTTAGGTGTTTTTATTGTTTTACTATTGTTTTTAATTTTGTACAGCACTTCGGACAGCTGCTTGTTATGTTTTAAGTGTTTTAGAAATAAATTGGTATGGTAAGATAAAAACTAGAAAGTATATTTTCCTCAAATGAATGAGGTGGCTGGTTTAACACACACACACACACACACACACACACACACATATATCAAGTTCAAGTATCTATTGTCATTCGCATCACATGTGGTAAATGAGGTGGAATGAAATTGTGTACTCAGGGTCCCAGTTACACCCAAAAATAGCTAAAAATGAAGAATAAAAAGAAACAGTATATACGGATCTAATATACACTAAGATATACGCTAAACAATACGCTAAAAGACATGAGATATACACTAAACACTAATAATGTAAAATAATACGGTGTACTAAACAGCAGCCTCAACATGAGTCTGTTGGTTAAGAAATCCAGGACCCAGTTTCAAATGGAGGGGGTTAGTCCTAGTGTGCTAGTGTGAGTAGTTTGTCCATCGGGGTTTGGGGGATCATGGTGTTGAAGGCAGACGTGAAGTCCACAAAGAACATACGGACGTAGGAGTTCTTCTGCTCCAGGTGGGTGAGAGCAGTGGACCACAGACGAGATGGCATCCTCTGTTGATCTATTCTCACGGTATGTGTACTGGTGAGGGTCCTCCTTGATGTTGATGGTTGTTTGGATGTGGGACATGACGAGTCTTTCGAAGCATTTAGCGACTATCGGGGGTGAGGGCCACTGGCCGGTTGTCGTTCAGACCAGTCACTATAGAGCTCTTTGGGACTGGGATGATGGTGGCGGTCTTCAGGCAGGTGCGAACGCTTGCCAGAGTGAGGGAGGAGCTAAAGATGTCGGGCAGCACCTCGCAGAGCTGATCGGCACCTCCCCGGGGTGTTGTCTGGGCCAGTTGCTTTGTGAGGATTAATCCTCCTGAAGGTCCTCCTCACTTCTGCTGAGGTCACGCTGAGGAACCAGTGTTTCCACTACATTACTTTCCTTGGCAGGGCGCTCATCTCTTCCATGATTTTTGTTGACTGGAAGCACAAATAAGCTGTTTGTACCAAAAGTTTTCGGGGGGGACTTTGATATATATAAGCCAGCCTCTTCAGTCATGGGGTAGTGGTGGTGCAGAGGTTAGAGAAGGTTAGCTTGTGATCGGAACATCGCCGTTTCAACCCCCGGACATCAAAATGTGGTTAGGAACGTTGAAGCACTCACACCTGCTTCCACTCTCATTTGCTCCTCTCTGGGCCCTTGAGCAAGGCCCTTAACCCCCACCATCTGCTCCCCCGGGCACCCTAGATAGCAGCTCTCTGCTCCTCACAGAGGGCTGTGGTAGCTCGGTGGTCTGTGGTTGTGTCAGGAAGGACATCCGACTTAAAAACCATCGCCATGTTTTTGTGGGCGTTAGTTCACTGTGGTGACCCCTGAGGAAGGAGCAGCCAAAAAGAAAAAAAAATATATATATATTTTTTTTTGAATGATTAGCCATTTTAGAAGTTTTAAAAATAGTTACAAAAATAAGCTGCACTTCATAAACTAATAAAGGTAAATTAACATACAAATAAATCACTAAAATCAAAAGAACTAGAATGCAAACTTAAAAAATAAAAAAAAAACGTGGTGGAAAACAACTGACCAAAAAATATTCTTATAATTTGTTTTTGGTAACATTTTGGACTAATGTCTCTCTTTGTCCAGGAACCAGAATCTCCTCTTTCACCCAGGCTGACCTGGCGTCTCGCAGCGTCCAGTACGTCCACACCAGTGAAGAAGAGAAACACGCCGACCAGTTCTCCTTCACCGTGTCCGACGGCACAAACGAGGTAAACGATGGATCTGACGCCGGCTTTGGTGCCGTCGTGTTGGAGAGCGTGTCGTAACGATTGTTTATTCTCAGGCGAGTCGAGGTGTGACATCAAAGATCTGTTAACGTTGTGTCAAACCGGAGCACACGGAGAACACCTAACGTTGTTTTTTGAATTGTTGCTAATACCGTATCTTTTCCGGTACACCCAAATTCTTGCGCTTTCCCAACATTTGTGCTTGAACTGTGTCCGTTCACTTCCTGCCACTGTGGCAGTACATTCAGTGTGCTTCATTACATCTGCGTTGTGTTTTTGTGTTGCTTGAATCAGTTGTTAAAAACTCCAGAGCTTTCAGAGGGATGATGAAGTAACACTCCAGCTCCTTCAGCCCCCTTGTTTAACCTCATGCATAAATTTGGCTTGCTAATCAGAATTAATGAGAAGCACTAGAACTAAAGTAAACATGTACAAAAAAGGGTAATTTGCCCTTTAAGTCTGAGCGGTTAGTGTTTGAAGCGGTTCAATGCTTTTACTTTCAAGTTAAGGAGGTCTGGGTTTCCTGTTAAAAAGCACAGCATGTTAGTTAGGTCCGTACGAAGCCACTGGAGGGCTCTCAGTTTCTTATCGAACTGCTAATTGTGCAGTTTATTTGACGCCATTTGGGTTTAAAGTTTCCTAGAAATGTTGTACCATTAGTTAAATTTTGCGCTGAGATCATGGCACACAAAACTGACAGGAAGTAAACGTGTTCCCAGATGTCTTGACCCTAGAAATACCTCATTTCTACATCTTAGTTAGAAATATTTCAGAATATTAGAGCTCATTAACTTGCACTGTTTATCTGGAGGCTAAACGCTACAGTAGCCACTAGCATAACACAGTGTAAGTTAATGAGCTGAGGGCTGTTGTGTTGCATTGTTTGTAATAAATTACCATAAACACATTTTTCAGGTAACAAAAACTGCACATTAAAAACGTACTAAAACTCATTAACTCAATATTTTCTCTGCTAACTTGATGCTACATTAGCCTATACTAGCATAACACAGTTCCTAACTAAGCTAACAGCTGTTGTTTTATTTGTGACGCATTAGTCAGGTTTTATAAATAACAATATCTGAACATAAAATAAAGATGCTAAACTTCATGACTTTATTTTCTTTGCTGGAGGCTGAATATGATGCAATAGCTTGCTCCAGTTAGCTGGAGGCTAAATGCAAAGGCCTGCTTTAGCATAACACAATTCCTAACAGAACTGGCAGCTGTTGTGTTGCAGCATTTAGCCTATAACAAATTAGTTTTGCAAATACCAGTAAATCTAACTGAAAGCAAAATAGATAACGATACTAAAAACAAAAGCTTATGCAACATTGGACGTTAAATGCTTAATGCTATGTTAGCCTGTATTAGCATAGCAGTCTCCAACTGATAGTTGTGTATCGTTATTTGTAACAAATTAGTCATGTTTCACGAGTAACGCTAACTGGAAATCCTACAAACAGAACAAGCTACAGCTTTTGTGTGTGATAAACTCTTTTTAGGGGCTTCTAATAACGCAGACACATAAAAATTAGTCCCCAATATAATTTTGCTCAGCAACCACTGTTTAGGCCTGAGGGAGTGGTGGTGCGGAGGTTAGAGAAGGTGTGCCTGTGATCTGAAGATCGCCGGTTCGATCTCCTGGACCGACAACATCAGAATGTGGGTGGGAAAGGTGAAACAGTCGCACCTGCCTCCACCCTCATTTGCCCCATTCTGGGCCCTTGAGCAAGGTCCTTAACCCCCACCATCTGCTTCCCCGGGCACCCTGAGGAAGGGAGCAGCCGAAAGAAGAAGAAGGGTTTAATGTATGGGACTACAGATTGTAATATAAAAAATGCAGAAACTCTAAATGAACCAAACTATAATAAAATTAAATATATTTTAACACTATTGGTTGTTGGGCTCGATAAGTTATTTTACTGCATTAGTACATGGTAACGTTTACAAAATTGTAGAATGTACTGTTGTTTGATCCAGCATAAATTGTCACACAGTCTTGTTTACAATAATAATTTTGTATAAGAGGATTTTTTTAAATTCCCAAACAATCGGTGTTGGGAACAGTAAATTGTTGAACAGCTAATAGCGGAGCAGAATTTTTTTGTTTAGCATATTATTGTTTTCCCTAATTTTGCAAGACTTTAGTGGAATTAGCTTTCTGCTAAATTAGGTTTCACCAATTTTACGTCCGCTAACAAAATTCACAAGCTTGTCTGTTGTGGGCGTGTCTTGAAGAGTCTGTTAGGCACGCTATTGGCTGACTACGTGCACGCGTGACAAGACGTGACTGATCGATGCAGCTTCAACTGGAAGGGGATGAAGACGTGTGACGCAAACTGACTGACAGTTGTCTTAGTGGTTTACTGTTAGTGAAGCTAATTTTTTAGTTAGCGGATTATGGGTTAGCGAAGCTAGCTTTGCACCACAAAAAAATTACTTATGTTGGAAAATGCTTGACTTGCTGGGACAACTCACTGTTTTGGGCAAATCTTTGCTTGTTTTTAGGTTGCTCAGACTTTTTACATCACCATCAAGCCGGTGGACGACTCGCTGCCTCTGCTCCAGGTCCCGGGTATGAGAGTCCAGGAGGGTGTGAGGAAGACCATCACTGAATTTGAGCTGAAAGCTACCGATGCAGACACGGAGGTAGAGCACCGTCTTTGAGCCAGCGAGGCTTCTCGGCAACCATTAAAAATAAATAAAAACATCTCAGCGGACACAAAAACATTGATGTGCTTTGTGCACAAAGTGGCCGGACACCTCAAAGCCTTTCCCCTTACGATTTTTTAATGTTTATTTTCCTCTTCTAAAACCACCTCAAGGCGGAGTCCATCATCTTCACCGTCGTCCAGCCTCCTCGCCATGGCACCATTGAGCGCACCAGCAACGGCCAACACTACCGCCAGACCGGCACCTTCACCATGGACGACATCTACCAGAACCGCATCAGCTACAACCACGATGGCTCCAACTCGCTCAAAGACCGCTTCGTCTTCTCCGTGGCCGACGGCACCAACCTGTTCTTCATGGTAGAGGAGGCCGGCGAGGAGGTGTGTGGGTCTGTGTTAATGTGCGTTCTGATGTTTTATTACAGCTGGTGATTGAAACGAGGGAGTTAGGGCATCTGTTGGTGAGTTTTCGTGTTTCAAGGTTGGTGTTTCTGCTCCGACGACGGTTTAATCTCCTGGTTTTGGTCCTGTGAAGACAAGTGCTACTTAAAAAGGGGGAGAGGGAGCTTTAGTTATGAAACAGACTTTAATTGAAAACAACAATCTGACAAGGTTGGAAATTCTTGTGGGATTTTTTTAAATGTTTTTATTATTTTGTAGTTCGGCAGATTTTGTGCTAAATTAAGAACCAGATCCGGAGCTCATTGAATACTCAGCAAGTCCTGATATTTTCTCACACACATGGCCGGCTATACCCATTAAATATTTGTGGTATTGACAAAAAGGAGCATCATCTTCTTCATCTGCTTTGTCCCAGTTTCTTCAGTAGCTCTGGAGTGAGTAAGTTGCTGCAACGTGAAGATTTGTAATGAATACACCAAAAGAAAGAGTTTTTATCGGCCCGAGTTTAGTATTTATCGTCTGTAGTAACGCCAACAAAGTTTTAGAAGGTAACATCGTCTGTTCTTAACCCATTAAGGATTCGTCTGAGATTTAGAGATTTGAAAACTTCACTTGAAGAGATCTCAGGGATGATTGTTGCTACATCAGTCCGGAAGAAAAGGTCCAAACAATCCGAGCACGAGTGAGCGCTCTTGTTTCCAAGAAAAGCCTCTGAGGATGGTTGGAGCTTTTAAGCTTTCTTGGTAAATTTAAAGGTTTTTTTTTTTTTACATTTATGAGATTTACAAAAACTAATGATAGAAACTAAAAACTAAATAAAATTAATGATAGAAACTAAAAACTAAATAAAACTAATGATATAAAAGTATTTTACCTTTGCAGATTATTTCTGAAATAACTAAGGGTTCAAATATCGAAACATTAAAACATCCATGTTTTTGTATCCCTCTTGTTTTCTTATTCAACAATTAGCTGTTAGTCGCCGTTTTCTACTTTTAGCTTATTTTGTGTTAAATGTAGCTTTTAGCTACTGTTTTGGTACTTTTAGTTTTTACCTATCATGCTTCTTTTAGCTACAGTTGCAATAATTTTAGCTTTTAGCCAGAGTTTTATATTTTAGCTACACTTTTACCGTTTTAGCTAAGGTTTTGCCATTTTTGTTTTTTATCGACTGTTTTGTTCATTTTAGCTTAAGCATTTTTTTTTTTACATTTAGCCATTTTCTATGGTTTCCCTACTTTTAGCATTTGTTACTGTTTTGCTTTTTTCAGCTTTTAGCTACAGTTTTTTTTTTAAATGTAGCTCTGAGCAGCAGTTTTGCTACTTTTAGCTTTTAGTTACTTTTTTGATTTCTTCAGTTTTTAGCTAGTTTTTTTACACTTAGCTTTTAGCTACAATTTTTCTACCTTTAGTTTTTAGCAAAAAAGAAAGAAAAATCAACGTTTAGCATTTAGATCAGGGGTGGGCAATTAATTTCTTCAGGGCGCCGCATGAAAAATCTGACGTGTGTCGGAGGGCCGAACCAGCAATGACTTAAATTTAAACTTGGGTCATTATAAGTTTTCTCATTATATCTGTTTTTATAATGAACTACTTAAATCAGATTCTTTTTGTAATAAGAAATAAGAATATTCTGTAAATATTTATAAAAGTGAACAAATTGTGGTTTAGGTTGAAGTGAGACTTAATACTAATTCTATTAAATTAATAGGTTAAATGCTGTTTCAGAGTCAACACCTGTTTGTGCGTGTGTCGTTCATTCTTTCAACCTTTATTTCTACGGGTTAATCCCATTGAGACCTGATTTCTTTATGTGTGTTGTTAAATGCTGCTCGTTATGAGAATTAACTCCTCTGCTTGTCATTTTCGTCCTCCCTCTCCTCCGCCCCCGACCACCTGTCATTATTAATCGCCCACATGATAAACTGAACGAGAGCATGCAGGTTTTGATATCTGCGATCGCACACACACCTCTCAGGTTTGTGTTTATTACCTTTCCATCACTTGGGGACGCTCGTTTCAGCAGCCGTGCAGAGCAGGAGCTGGTCTGTGTTGTTGTTTCAGGCGAATTAGTTCCCCCTGGTGCTGCCACGTCTTTAAATATTACATGAATTATTCATAAACTGTAAATGAATCGATCCTTTGGCGGCGTGTGTCAATAACAGCGTCTTTGTGACGACGTGCCTAACTCTGTAAACTCCGCCGAGACTCGAACAGGACAACATAACAAGGAGCGAGAGCTGAGAGTTTTATCTGATTCAGTCTGTCGGCGCCGTTTCAAGAGAGGGAATCGATCAGATCATCTGCAACTCTTCTGTTTCCACTTCCTGATGTTTCATCTGTGAGTTTACTGACTCGTTCTTCACACGGGACCAAACTTTGGTCAGTGAGACGTCAGTGAAAGCAGCACGCGGGGATGGTTTTTACTTTTTTATGTAATCGCCCATGTCTTTTGATGTTTATTGTAGCTGCAGACCAAATTCAAAATGTTTTTTATACCAACGGAACATAGTATATCACGTTCAAAAATCTTTATTATCCCCGAGGGGCAATTTGTTTCACAGTCAGTAGACGCACAAACATCCAGACCAGACGTTGAAATATACGTACAGAGCTCATCACTGTTCGTTGAGAAGCCTGATCGCTACAGGGATGGATGAGTTTTTCATCTGTTCATCATACATCTGGGCAGCAGACACCTGCATCCAGACGGAAGGAACCTGAACTCACCATGGAGTGGATGAACAGGATCTGCCAGAATCAGCCTGGCCTTGTTCTCTGACCTCGCCTTGTGTAGGTCAGTGAGGTTCTGTAGGTCAGTGAGGTTCTGTGGGGCTATGCCAGCAGTTTTGCTGCACATCCTGACAATCCCCGAGAGTTTGTTCCTGTTTTTACACGTCAAAAGTCCAAACCAACAGGTGAAGGTGAAAGTTAGATCAGGTGTTGAATCTTAAAAAAAAATAAAAGCACCGTTATTTTAAAAATTTGATGGCAGCAACACAAAAACATTCAAGCAGGAGCAACAAAAGGATGTAAAAGTTGGAGGTACATAAACAAAACAGCCAAAGGAACATTTGGAAACAAATTAGACTAATGTGCAGCAGATCATCGTCCGGTCTCACACGACTCGCTTCGACTCTGCTCAGGTCTACGCGGTCTTTGTGGATTCCCATAAAACATGAGCGTCGCCTCGATGTGGGAGGACCGTCAGAGCGCGGACGCCTGGAAAACCCAACGCAGCAAAGACTAAATACGTGAAGTAAAGTCCTAAACTGTCGCTTCCTCTGTCACGGTTTCCAGTAATGCTCGTCAGCCAACAACAAGGGAAACATCTGCACCTTCTCAAAGAACCATGGCGTTGGTTAACCTGCTGCCATTTTAATGGATATATTGGAAAGAAATTAGGTTTTAAAAATGGTGGATTGGATTTGTGCAAAGGCTCACTCATGGTTGACATCTCTCTGCAGTCTGCTGACGTCAATTCTTCAACTCTGCTTAGATCCTTGACCGAGGAGGTCCTAAAAACTGAACTGGAAGCTGCTGGGACCTCCCATCAGAAGCCTTCTTAAGACACATGGAGTCGAGTCCTTGGAAAAAGTCCAGTCGAGGACCGGGTGTAAAAACATGCTGAACGTCTCAGAAGTAAAGATGGGCAGGGGTTTTCCCGTTCGTGTAAAACGGTGTTTAAAAAGTGAGTTTTAAAAAGTTCCCCACCAGATAATTGGGACGATGTTGCTGTTGTGAGATTTGCAAGTCATTGAACGTCCCACGTTTTTTTTGGAATTGTGTCGTAAAATTTAATGCAGATTTGTACATAATTTAAAAATACAAGTATTCCTGACAAAGTCCTGCGTACCGACGTCTTTTAAATTTATTCCAGCAGCTCCTCACCGTCCAATAATTCACCTGTTATCGAGCATTACCTGAACTTTTTCTTTAAACTTTCTTTTTTATATTGTTGTTTTTTTGGGTCTCCAAACTGTTTTCATTTAGATTTTTCTGTCTGTCCAGGTCGTGACGGCCGCTCCTCAGAAGTTTAAAATCGAGATTCTGCCGGTGGACGACGGGACGCCTCGAATCGTCACCAACCTGGGGCTGCAGTGGCTGGAGTACATGGACAACACGGTGCGGTTCGGACGTTTGACTCACTGCTTTATGATTAAAATGAACGTTTTGATGCTCGTTGTTGCAGAAATATTTATTCAAACAGGAACACAGTTCTGTGTAAACTCATGTTTGTATCTTATTTATTGACTCACAGCGGTGAGTCGGTCTTCAGCTTTTATTTCTGTGCCTCGACACTGTAAAAGTGTCATTTTGTGAAATGTTTGTGCTGCCGGTAATTAGGCCCTCTGGGTTTTATCGCTCAGGCAAATTATCAGGAAGTTAAATCCTCGCGTCCCGTCGTCGCCGAAGCCTTTTAACAGATCGTTGTCATCGTGGAGTGCCTTCAGCTGCAGCTCACTAAAACAGGAGGATGTTCGAACTCGTGTGTTTGGTTAAACTGAGATTCAAGGCCAAATCACACAGTTTATATCAACACGTAATCTGCTGGGATTAACTATGGTTACTATGTACTACGGTACAGTCATAAAATGCATATAAAATAAAAAGTAAATAAAAGTAGTGATATAAAACAAAAATAAAACGAGCTACATAATGAAACGAGGTAAAATACTAAAAACAGGAAAATGTCTGCGTTGGATTTTCTACTCAGAGTAGTGACGGAGATCAGTGTTTCCTCTACCGTTATACAAGCAGGGCGCCCCGCCCTGTCAACAGAACTCCTCCCCCACCCCACCCACCGTCAACAACTGCCGGCGCTGACGTGGCGCTAAGCTAGTGGCGTGCAATACAGACGAGCTAGCTAAAAAGCTACAGAGGTAGCGCTCCGTTTCCCTCACGCGTCGCTACAAACAGTATTCAACACAGACGTGTCTCCATCCCACCCACCCCCACCCCGTCGACAAAAATCACAGAAGAGATGAGCGCCCTGCCAAGGAACGTAAACCAGGCGAATCACTGGAGATGACTCTCAGCTACTACCACACCATGTTTTAGTTTAATTGTAAAAAAGTTAGTTTTAGACATTAATGTGTTGGATAAGGTTGAATAAATGTTGCAACCATCTTGACGGGGGTTGACTCCACAACTAATCAGATGTAGATGCCCATTCAGTGATTACTAAGTTTTATTAAAATCATATCATGAGATATTTTGCTAACAGGCAGACGGGGTTGACTACAACAATTAATGCCAAAGTTTTAAACAAAGATCTTACACGATCTGTCAAAGCTCGGACCAGATTTGTGAAACTTATATTCCATCCTGGAGTCAGGTCTCAGAAGCAGCAGCCTGAGCAGTGAGACAGACATCTCTTTCCATGGTCACCTCTTCCATCTCTTCTGGGAGGACTCCAGGGCATTCCCAGACCAGCTCAGAGACGTTGTCTCTCCACTGTGTCCTTGGTCTTCTGTGGGGTCTCTCCTCTCATTTGGACATATCCATAAAACCTGAGCAGAAGGCGTCCTTACCAGATGTTTGAACCACCTCAACTGACTCCTCTGGATGTGGAGGAGCAGCAGCTTTACTCCGAGTCTCTGCAATCTCGTTCTTCCGGTCTCTACCCGGGGTTACTAGAGAACCATAGGTGAGGGTCAGCACGTAGACCGATGGGTAAACGGAGAGCTTCTCCTTGCAGCTCAACTCCCTCTTCACCACAACAGAGTCCACAAGACAGCAGAAGTTGAACCAACCTGATGATCTCCTGCTCTGTTCTTCCATCACTCGTTAAACAAAACCTGACGATGCATAAACTCCTCCACTTGAGGCAGAACCTCGCTCCCAACCCAGAGAGGGAAATCCACCCTTTTCAGACTGAGGACCACGGCCTCAGATTTGAAGGTGCTGATTCTCATCCCAGCCTCTTCACACTCGACTGTGAACCGCTCCAGTGAGAGCTGGAGATCACGGCACGATGACTCCAACAGGACCACATCATCTGCAAATAGCATGATGGAATCCTGAGGTCACGGAACTGGACTCCCCCCGCCCATGACTGCACCAAGAACTGCGGTCCGTAAAAGTTCTGAACAGATTTGTTGTCAACAGGCAGCCCTGGTGGAGTCCGACTCTTACCCTGAAGGGTCCTGCTGGTGTGAACCAAACTCTCCCACCGCAAATATAGGAACTGAATGGCCCTTAACACCAGAGCCCCAATCCCAGACTCACAGCAACCCCCACAGTAATCTATCCCCACACCCCTTCCCCATGGCTGACATTCAGTTTCTTCTGGATGCGGAACAGACTTTAGTAACAGGATAAGCGGTTCAGACCTAGCATTAGTACCGTAATGCTCCACTAACACCCACCCCCACCAGCGAAAACCAGTAACATTGACATCCCAACCCCACCAAGCGCCGGTCAAGGTAAGTAATCTAGGAGAAACACTGTCTCAATGTCCACAAAACACGTAGACTCTAGAAAAACTGAAGACTGACTAACTAGAAAAATGGTGGGAATCACCATAGCAACCAGTGACTCAGCAGGTTTTTCTTCTTCTCTCATAGACCTTTGTTTAATTTCTAATAATAGTTGCAATGACATCGCTCAAACAGTCTTTGGACGATGTTGTTTTTCAGGCCACTAACCTAATCAGCAAAAAGGAGCTGCTGACGATGGACCCGGACACGGACGACAGACAGCTGGTGTACGAAGTCACCGCCGAGCCGAAGCACGGCTTCCTGGAGAGCAAGCTCCGACCTGGCAGCTCCATCAGCACCTTCACACAAGGTGAGGGGAACGCTTTAACTGCGTGTTTTCAGGTGTTCTGTGCAAATCTGCAACAATGCTCTGAAACAACGTGTGGTCGTTGGACGTACGTCGTAAGATGATCTGAATTTTTACCGCATGCGTGTTTTTGTCCTGGTGGGCTTTTTTTTGTAAGCCCTGAGCCTGAAGCAGAACCAGGACATGGTCCAGCTCTTTGGTTTGTGTTTTTCTTAAGGAAAGATGTGAACCAAACTTAAAAAAAGTAAATGCAGCAGATTGTTCTGACACATTGAGATTTTAAAGCTAAGTTTCATGTTGCATCGCTGCCCCCTGCTGGTCACCTTTTATTAAATCAAGCTCTGTTCAGTCTGATTATAAACAAATAAAAACGTTATTACCATAAACATTTAAATCTAGGTTTATGGATGTCCTCCTGATGAGTTATCAGATCATTTCCACCCATGTGGTTCGATTCTTCATCACCCGAAGCCTCTCCAGATGTGTTCTTTTTACAGCTCTCCCTTGTTTACTGAGTTAATTTGCATTTTCAGTCAGCGGGGTTCTCATTACTAGTGTCTATATTATGTTTACCTTCAGGCTGCAGCTAGGAATCTGTGTTAGCTTGCTTCTGTAGACGTGTTGATCCTTCAGGCAGAACACATTCAGCACATTCAAACAGTCGTTTGGATGTGCTGAATGTTTGGTTTGGAGCACTGAAACCTCATTTACTCTAATATAAAGTAAATAAACTCAGCCCAGGAGAGAAGAACTGTACATAAATAAAGTGGATGGGGTTTCTGCTGTAATCTTTCGTACACTCAGACTGAAAACAATATTTTAAATGTGACGTTTATATGTTCGTACATCATCGTCATCATCATCGTCTGCTCTTGTGGCAGCTTCGTAGCAGCGTTTTATCTCGCCGAGCCTTCAGTCATTTTTACTGCAGCAGGACGGGGATGTTGGCTTTTTACGTCTTTTTCAATCTGCTGTTCTGGGAAAAAAATACATGAGAAGAAAATATGAGACAAATTTGACTCTGAAGTCATTGAAAATGGATCAGAAGCTGCAAATTATAAACCTTCATTAAAAAAAAATATATTATCTGGGATGTTTTATCTCAGAGTGAAGCCAAAATGTCAGATCGCGCTAAAAGCTGCGCTGATCTTTGCTACCGTTTGCTGTTTGATACGTGTGTGTGTTTGAAACATTATAGTACGGTACCAAGCAGTGAGCTGGTAACGAGCTTTATTCCCTTTCTTTGTGCCATAGAAACTATAAAACAGACCGCATCTTAAACCCTATTCGCACGGGATTAGTTTTACCTAGGGACCTCATGTAATCAATAAATTACTCCCCAACATCTGCTTTTTATGTGGCGCATTCGCACGGGATAACCAGAGTCTGAGATTTAGCTGAAATTTACAGACGTCTTCTGGATATGATGTTAACGCGCTGCATTGTCACGACCGGGCCGGTCCAGATAATGTGTTTAATGTGTGGTCTCGGCCGGTCTCGGGCTTTGATGTGGTTTTACGAATCGGCACTAAAGAAAACTAAAGAATGTACAACATAAAATAGTGTTAATCTACTTGAGGAGGAGGCAGGTCCCACCGCGTTTAAGAGGTTAAAAAAGAAGCCACGTTAAGCTCAGATGGACAGCTGTCACCAGCCGTGCGCCTGAGCATCCTATATATATATTTATATATCCTATATATCCTATATTATATATATTTTTCCAAATTATGTTGCTTAAACAAAAAACAAAAAGCGCCTCATTACGTATCGGATCCTGCACATTCCTGTCCAAATCACAGAGATGCCTATTCGCGTTGGATTAGTATTATCACAGGACCTCGGAGTTCAGCAAAATATAGTAGGTAATGTGTGGGGGAATTTTTACTTTACAAATTTCTGACATGGCCGATTCGCATGGGATTAACAACACAGACCATCTCTGTAATTATTACAAATAGCATGTGGTCCCTTGGTAAAACTAATCCCGTGCAAATAGGGCTTTACATGACGTGATGCCAAATCCCCAAAGAAGTGCGCCCATAACAGCTTGAGTCCATTGTCTTGCTTCATTTTAGGGAATTTTCACACCTGAAGTGTTGAGTCTGATTAAAATGAACGCAGGTTAGTTTCCCCTTGGTCCAGTTCGTTTGTGTCGACATGATCACGATATTTGAGGTGTTCCAAAGACCGTTGAGGTCTTGGTGCGGTTCTAAAAGAACTCCAGATTGGTTCGTTTATAATGTGAGCCTGATCCAGCCTCGGTCCAACAACTACCAGGTGTACGCTGCAAGTTTGAATCGTTTTAGCCAGGTGTCCTTTGCATTCTGGGATACGGTGACGTAAACGATCTTCAGTAGAACCTGGTTCCAGCTTCAACTTCCACGTTCCTGTCCTAAGTCTACTAAATTGTTGTATTTTTCAGCGTATAAGTCGCATCAGTCAAAAAAAGCACCATGAAGAGAAAAAAACAAAAGTTACTTTGGCATATAAGTCGCATTTATTATACATCACCGCTGACCCGTCACGTTTATTTAATGGTTAAAACAGCATTTTACCATCGCAGCACCATCCAGCCATTCATCCATCCGTCCATCCATCCATCATGGCTGGAGCCACTAGTTCTCCAACGTTCCTCCGCCTGCACCAGCTGAGTGAAGCGAGCGTGCATGGGAGGACTCATTGTTGCAGTTCTTCAAAATTTAAAGCGTCAGTCAGAAATAGAGTTCCAAATATGGAAAAAGAAACGTATATGACGCTTTGGCGTATAAGTCGCAGGACTGACAGATCTTCCTCAGAAATCCATGATCTGCTGCCATGCTAGCAAGAACCTTTGACCCCACGTAGCACCTGGCAAGATGGCGGCATAGACTCTTGATACATTAGCAACAGAGTGCGCTGTGGTCGGCACTCCATTTTATTTTTACTTCAGTGGTTGACAACTCTATCAGTCAATAATCAATGACTTTATCTAAATGAGCAATTTAAAAAAGAAAAACTCATTTTGGGATAAAATATTTCATTCATTTCAATTTAATTCAAACATACTTTATTAATCCCATAGGAAAATTAAATGTAACTCATCCTGAATTCATTTAAGATACGTTGGAAATTTTATAGTTCACTAAGGAGCGCTAGAGTGAACCGTTGACCATAAACAGATAAATGAAAAGACTACGTCTTTATGTCAAATTAATCTTAAACGTGTAAATTAAACAATAAGTGAGTAATCTAATCTTCTTTCCCTGCAGCTGATATCAATCTGGGTCTGATCCGCTACGTGCTGCATCAGGAGAACGTCCAGGAAACCGTGGACACCTTCAAGTTTCTGGTCAAAGACAGTAAACCCAACGTGGTCAGAGACAACGTCTTCCACATCCAGTGGTCCCTCATCAGCTTCGAGCACAAGAGGTTTGTAACTTTTACCGTTTCAAAAAAACAACAACTTCAAAACTAAAACGGTAAAACAACCTCCTCTGCCGACCCCTCAGCTACAACGTGAGTGAGAAGGCCGGCACGGTCGCCGTGACGGTGAAACGATCCGGGAACCTCAATCAGTACGCCATCGTGCTCTGCCGCACGGAACAGGGCAGCGCCAAGTCCACCAGCAGCACCGGGTCTCGTCCCGGCCAGCAGGACTACGTGGAATACGCCGGACAGGTAACCCAAGTTTAAAACCCGCTCTGGCTTTTATAAACCCTTTCTAAAGCCCTCCCCGTTCTGCAGGTGCAGTTTGACGAGCGTGAGGACACCAAGGTGTGCACCGTGGTCATCAACGACGACAAGGTGTTTGAGGGCATGGAGAGTTTCCACGTGGAGCTGAGCATGCCCGTGTACGCCCTGCTAGGCGCCAACACGCGCGCCGTGGTCAACATCAACGACACGGAGGACGAGCCGACGCTGCAGTTCGATAAGAAGACGCACCACGTTAACGAAAGCAGCGGGTTCTTCCACGCCCCCGTCGAGAGGAAAGGTACGGCGTCCAGAACAAACCGACTCAACCGGAGGCTGCGGTCAGCAGGTCCACAGTCCTGGATCACACAGAATCTAGTTTTAGTGTTTTCCATGTCTGGATAAATATGGAAAAAGACAACTGAATATAGAAAAACTTTTACGTTTTCTAAAAGATTTATTTCTAATGTTTTTTATTTTATTTTATAAAAATGATCCTCCACATGTTTTGGTTAATTTAAGACATCGAGCCTTGAGTTTAACGTTTCGGCCGTCAGCATGCTTGTTTCTGACCTTCAATATACGGCTCCAGGCCCACAAGTGGTCCTCGGACAATTTCCTGTTGGCCTCAACGTCCTCGAATAAAAACAAACCTGGTTATAGTAAGTCGTTATAATAAGTTATTTTACTGATGAAACTTTAGGTCATTAAAACTAAATTAAACAACGTGGACATCTAAAAACGTTGAACTAAAATACACTTTATTTGGCCAGTTTGGCTCAGCCTGAGCAGTAGTTCTTTGAAAAGCAAAAATATAGCTAGGTTTAGCATGTTTTAAACTAAAATATATTTTATTACAAATACCGTTTTTGTAGAATGAATGTTTTCTATTTCAATGCATGTTTTCTTTAATTCTCCTGTAATTTGTCATGTTACTCCCCTCTAGTGTTCCTTTGGGGAAGAATAGACCCATTGAAACCCATAATCAATGCATGTTCTGATCCTATATTCATCATATCATTAAATAATAATAATAATATTTCTTGGCTGAAAATTCTTGTGGAGCCCGGTTTACCATCCGGTCTGACAATTTAGTTAGTTCGGACTGGGTTGTGCACGAGTAAACATTTGGTACAAAACTGTAGATCCACATAAGTGCAGGCTGAAGAATCAACCATGCCTTAAAAAAAATACATATATATATAT